CCTATGATGGCTCCACATTCCTTGAGTTTCTAGGCCACAGCTTAGAGAGGCAGAGCCCAGGCAAAGACCAGCAGTCTCACTACTAGTATGTAGAGGAGAGGAATCCTTGAAAAAGACCTAAGATGGGAATTTTTCATTAAAAAGAAAAAGAAAATGCCTAACAGAAACCAGTATCTTAACAATTCTACCTATTGCCTAGGTTTATTTTTATAAAACCAATAGTATTTTGAGTTCTATCTTTACTTCCTTTTCTCCTTTTCACTAATTTCAAGTTTAAAGAGTTCAATAAAAATGTTTTGGAAATAAACTTACTTTCTTTCCTATACCCATTATTTAAGTGATAAAATAGAATTATAACTGAAAGAGATCACTAATAAGCAAGATTATACTTTTCAGTGCAATCAGTACAAACAGTAGATTTAATGGAGATTTAACCAAAATTCCTCCATTGAAAAAAAAGTCTATGTTAAACAAAGAAGAAAATTTTAGTTTAAAAATTGTAGAACATTTTATCATATTTTTCCTACTTCTAACTTCATAATTTGCACTATTTTCATGTCATTATGTCCTAAAGCAGATTAAAAATAGAAATGTAGTCCTATTACACACACCTGAAAGGTCTCAGGTTCGATTTCTGTTCCCAGCACATACCCAGCTTGTGGGTTCCATCTCAGGTCAAGGGGAGGCAACAGATCAATGTTCATTACAGCATCATTTACAATAGCCAAAATTTGGAAGTAGCCCAAATGCCCATCAGTAGATAAGTGGATTAAAAAGCTGTGGTACATTTACACAATGGAATACTACTCTGCCATTAAAAAGAAGAAATTTTTACCCTTTGCAACTGCATGAATGGACCTGGAGAATATTATGCTAAGTGAAATAAGCCAGTCAGAGAAAGACAAGTCCTCATTATGATTTCACTCATATATGGAATTTAATGAAGAAACTGAACTACCAAGCAAAATAGAAACTGACTCACAGGTAGAGCACAGGCAAAAAAAAGTTCAAGTTCACTAATTATAGAAAAAAAGAAGTTAATAAGATACTATTTTCAACCACCAAACTGATAGTGCAGTGGTTGGCAAACTGTGGCTCGTGAGCCACATGCGGCTCTTTGGCCCCTTGAGTGTGGCTCTTCCACATACCGACTTCTGCACATGGGTCACAAAGTTTCAATCGCACTGTAAGTGCACGCCCGCACGTGGTATTTTGTGGAAGAGCCACACTCAAGCGGCCAAAGAGCCGCATGTGGCTCGCAAGCCACAGTTTGCCGACCACTGTGATAGTGGTATGAGAAATGCTATTCAAATCATCTTTTTATCAATTTTGTAAATTAATTTAAAAGCCTTTTGAAACAGTAATCTATAATAATAAAAGTGTAATATGCTAACTAGACCAGACGTCTTTCCGGACATCCTTCTGGATGAAGCCGGGGCTGTGAGGGAAGCCCGGGTCCTGGGTGCTAGAGGGAAGCCGGTGCTGGCAGCATGGGAAAGAAGGCCTACTCTTGCACGCATTTCGTGCATTGGGCCTCTAGTTTCAAATAAATTATAAAAAGTATATCATGACTCATGTTCAAGGATGTTCACTTCAATTATAATATCAGTTATAATAGAAAATGGGCAATAAGCAAAATGGTCAACAAGAAAAGAAGGTTTGGTATGCTCAGTGGTTAGAGCATCAGCCATCACACAGAAGGGTCAGGGCACATACTTGGGTTGCAGGTTTGATCCCATGTGTGGGAGGCAACCAATTAACGTCTCTCACATCGATGTCTTTCTTTCTCTCTCTCTCTCTCTCTCTCTCTCTCCCCCCCCCCCCCCCCCCTCCCTCCCCCTCTCTAAAAATCAATGGAAAAATATCCTAAGGTGAGGACTAACAACAACAAAATAGGTTTAGTAAGTCACAGCACATTCTAAAACTATCTAATAAAAGCCTAAGCAACCTTTACGGCGGAACCACCAGAACAACCAGTCGCTGTGATGCACACTGACCACCAGGGGGCAGACACTCAACGCAGGAGCTGCCCCTGGTGGTCAGTGCACTCCCCAGTCAGAAGCCGGGCTCACAGGTGGCAGGAGCCTCTCCCACCTCCGCAGCAGCGCTAAGGAGCAGCGAGCAGGCAGGCAGTAAGGAGCAAGGGGTCCCGGACTGTGAGAGGGTGCAGGCTGGGCTGAGGGTTCCCCCCCACCCCCAGTGCAAGAATTTCGTGCACTGGGCCTCTAGCAGTGATAATATTATGTGGCTATTTAAAAACATTTGTTGAATATTTAATAATTTGGGATATTTTCACAATATATCATATAACCATTAAAAACACGCATTCTAAAAGAATAATAAGCCTGGCCAATGTGGCTAAGTGGTTGAGCGTCATGCTTCGACTCCTGGTCAGGGCACATGCCTGAGTGCAGGCTCAATTCCCAGTAGGGGGGCAGGCAGGATGCAGCCAACTAATGTTTCCTCTCATCGACTTTTCTCTCTATCCCTCTCCCTTCCACTCAGTAAAAACCAATAATATGAACATTTTAATAGAATAAAATGGGAAAATATCCACAATATAATACTAAATTAAAAACAGGTCAATCAATTATCACAAAGGTCACAAAAATCACCAAAACATTTAGAGCATTTATTTCTAAATGTTAATTAATTTCAATATGTTCCTAATGTGCTATAAGTAAAAAAAATTTTTTTTAATATTTTTATCATACATTTAAATTATTAAAAAGCCAATTTTATGGTTTATGGCTTCATCAAACCTTATCTGAACTAAATTCTACAATGCTTAAAATTCACAAAATAACCCCATTAACTTTTATGCATTCCTGGAGTAACCTAGTTTTAATATTTATATATGCTGCATACATGTCAAAATTTTGCGGCATCGTAACTATCCAAGTAAAATTTCAAAACAAGCTTGTACTGACAGCACACGGATGAACAAAGAGTGGAGGTTCACACAATTCATTAATCTTAGTTTTAAGTTTATAGAACTGTATTTGCCTTTCTAACAAACATGACGGCAAAATTGTCCCACCAATAAATATTTACATTGTTCATTATGTTCTTCAGTGTTTTCAAGTACCTCTTATGATCTTTACCATTAACCTAAGAGGCAATCGTTTGTATATTCAAATTAAAACATCAGCTTAAATATATAAACCAAAATATTTCACTTTTCTGGAAATGCAAAGTGTACCATGCCCTAAGATCAAAGTTCTTTTCTTTACCTAAATATGTATGTCTCTACACATATCACACGTACAGACACACAAATACAGAAAGTACAACATATTTTTAATTCTAATAAAACATCAGAAACAATGTCAAAGGAGGTGGGAGAGGGGTCTGCTGGGTAAACCACTCCAGAAGCATAAAAGGGAAAATTGCACAAGTGCCCTCTAAATATATTTCTGTATAGGAGACTCCAGAAGCCCAGGAACTATATCAGCAACAAATTTTCTGTGAAGAAAAAATAATATTTCCTATCACTCCATTCTATCTCATACGTGATATCATTTTTTAAAAATCCACCAACCACAAGTATTCCTTTCAACTACATCTTGTTAGTACTACTAATGGTACTTATTTTAGGCAATAAAAACAATCCTAAAGCAACCAAGATTACAAAGCAATAGCCACTTCTTCATTTGACAGGGGACTTACTTAAACTTATCGAGAAAGGAATTATTTTGTATACAAACCATAGATGAAGCTTACGAAAACCATTTACAAGTTTTTAGCCCAGTAAGAAATAATTTCCACAATGGTAGAATTATATTAAATCGTATAAAACTTCTCCCAAGGGTGTTATGTAAGATTAAAATATAATGACACTACCATTTTAAACTAAAATAATCACTAGCATACGTGTAACTACCTTCTTTAAGAAAGTAAAACCAGGAACAAACTTACAATTTTAAAAAATCAAACACAATATTATCTTATACATATGTGGTCAGTGTATTTTGTAAATCAACTGATTTTATTTTTATTGATGGTTCACTTAATTTCCTCATAAAGGCCTCAGTGTGGTTAGAAGTTCTTTACAGAATTCTTTATCAGAAAAATTCATCAAGTTTTATGTTTTACATATCATAAACAAAATGCTAAGAAAATGAATTAATTTTAAAACAGTAATAAAAATGATCTAACTGAAGCAATAATGGACAAGTGATCAGAGACCGAAAAAATGTATAACTCTAATGCAAGTATGATCAGAAGCACACAAACTAATTAAAATTAAATCTTCACTGACTCAGGATGAAATATTTTCTAAAAATAAATGCCCAAAGGAGATTGAGATTTCTTTTTAAACAACATCACATTGTCTTTCCAATGGGCCCTCCCCCTCATATTTCCCAAACTCAAATTGTTTCTATTTTGTAAACATTCACAACAGCACTGGTAAAAACAGGGTTAAAAATGTATTTGCAAATATGCAGTTCAAATAAATGCATTTCCTGTATGACCACCACTAGGTGCTGATCTTCACCTGCCTAAATATAAACTTGAATCCAGCAAAACTCTAAAAGTGAAATTATAATCCAGAACCATAGGTGACAATCACTTTCACAGAAAATTAAGTCCACAGCCTCTCAGAGAATCAGAGAAACAGAAGAAAACAGTTTAAGGTCAGTTTAACGCTTCAACATCAGTGAAGCGTTTTTCTTGAAAAATGTGGGAATTTGAGGGTAACAAAATGTAACCCTCTCAAGAATGAGGAAAATTAAATCTAGAACCCAAATGGCGTCCAACAAGAACATTAGATCTTGAAAATGCATATTGCGCTTGCGCAGCCACCGCCCCGCCAGCTGCACAACTGCAGCTAGAGGCCGACCCCGCAAGATCACGTGCTCCCATGCAGCGCGCGCGCCCGCAACCGCGCACGCGCAAACGCAACTCCCGCGGCCGCCATAATGCGGTCTTGACTCTTCAGAAATACAATAGTAATTCAAGAAAACATGGTTATAACAGCCCCTAGGATGCACATATACCTTTCCGGGCGGAAGATGAGGGAAGGGGTACTAAGTTCCTTCCCACAGCGCCGTTCCGCGCTGCCGTCCCCAACGC